TATATATATATATATACACACACACACATGACATTAGGCAACAGGAGGGGGAATAAAACTACTCCCAAAATGCCTAATTGACTTTTGCAATATTTTCTTTTTTTGTTGTTTCAATGCAAGTTCTTGGAGTGGAAGGAATTATTATACTCAAAGGTATTGCTTTGCATTCAAAATAATTCCAATAGTCTCAAATCAGTCAAATTGAAACAACAATACAAGACTAAAAATAGGATAACATGGCAAGAAATAACACTGCAGTGAACTAAAAGTTCGGGGCTTCTAGGCCCTATTATACTATGTGGAATTTACACTATTTTTTTATGTCAGGTATCCACAGATTCCTGTTACCCAGCCTGCATGACAACAGCAAGAACAGACGTGAAGGATTCAGGAGCCCTTTATCACAGCTAAAGAGAGAAGGCTGCAGTAGCAATAGATGTTCTTGGTCATAAAGTGTAGAATCACATGACAAATCACAGTTTAAGAGTTTGGCAAACAGGTAAACTAAACCTGGGTAAACCACAGAGCTTGATCAAGTTGTTACTGATTTAGTGATGATTTAAGGCTATGGTAGAAGAAAAACCCAGGTGTCTAGTGACGCTTCTACAGTCGCATTCTTAAATGAAGAAACTCTGATCTGGTTAACTTCAAAGCATTAGCATCACCTGCCTTAATTTTAAGGATTTCCTTAAAAACTTTATAGACTCACATTTGTTTGAAAACAAACTAACTACCCAGAAGCAGAGGACAGTGATCCCCATCTTACTTGAAATAGAATTCCTCAGTTTCTTGCTGGCTTTTTTTTTTCGTGCTTGAAGCAGCAGTTCTAGGGAGGCATTACTGAAAAGCAGTGCTTCTTTCATGATGCATATAAACCCCATATATTTTGGGAAACAAATTACATTGAATGCTACAGAGAGAAAATGTATCTGCTATCAATTTGCAATTTACTATGTAATTTGCTATGTATCTGCTATCAATTTACAATTTGCTATGTCCTTCTGTTGGATTTTTTTGTTTTGTTCTACAGCTGTGTTAGTCAGACCATACAGAAATTAGCCTTTTAAGGGACAATTTGACCCAGGAGTTCTGTTCAAGAGATGTAAAAAAAATCCTGACAATCCAGACATTTTGTTCTGACAATATTACCAACTTCTGTTAAAGCATTTGTACACAGCTGAATTGCATGGCATATGTATTCAAGTTTGTAAGGCCTAAATTAGCAAGCCATTATGTAAGCAAATTTTGAGCATAATTTAAAGGAAATAAATTACAAACTCCCTGAAAAAAACACCTGACATACAATTAAGGAAATGTTTCCAAGCTGTCTTTCTTTCCAAGTATAAATCACTGACATTATAATAAAATTAAAACAATCTCAGTGAAAGTCAGATCACAACTAGGACTCACTTCTGCACTGATCACCAGCATTATTTTCTACAACCACATACTACTAAGTTCAGTGAAATAAATTCTCATATTTTTATAATGTATTTTACATCCAGATTTCCCAACAGTTGTCCCTTATGTATGTAAATAGGAAAAAGAGAAAGCAAAACTGTTCCATTCTACAAAACACAGGAAAATTGTGACAACATTTACTTTTATCATTGCTCCCAATTTTTTTCATTTGAAATTTGAAAAAAAATGGTAATCCTAATAAACCTGTACAATGGTAGACTGATTGCTATGGACAATTATATGGCTTAATCTGGAACATGGATCTTGCACCTAATTTTGTCAATGTCATACAAATTTCACCTAGTTCAAATAAACCCACAGCACCTCACAAAGTACTTGAATTTTGATTCAAAGAAACTACATTTACTCATTCATTTTTGTGCCCTAAAGTGTATCCCCTTTTCTATAATGAGAAACATGTATCAGGTGATCACAAAGGAAATACATATTTTTGCCTAACCAAATACTGTGAAAAAGTCTTACAGGAACGAGGAAAGACAAAAAAAGTATTTTCAGTCATTTTTCTGCTTTACAAGGTTCTGGTACCATGGCAGGGAAGAACAGAGAAAGCAGTGGCAGCCACGTCGTCAGGGGGACTGAAGCTGGGCCCTTCCCACTCCTTATCAAACCATGGACAACAACTAGCTGGACATTTTGCTGACTTCTCCACTGCCCTAAAAACCAAAATATTTCACTTCATAGGGGAGAGTGAATGGAACAGAGGGAAGTAACTTAAACCCACTACCATTTTGGCAATTAAAATCTTGATGTACGGAACATAACTGAAAGTATTTGAAATTAAAGTGTAGGTCCTCTATAAAGAACTAAAACCACCTAGAATATTCTGCCAAAACAGAACTGTCAACTTTCTCTTAAAAAAAATAAACCTACCTGACTTCCTTCTGAAATGTTATCTCATATAAAATTGAATTAAACACATTAAATATGGTCTGCCTGCAACTATATGAAAGGAGAGCAAACTCAGATCAAAAGTGCAAAGAGCAAACCAATAGTCAAAAAGCACAAAAGAACATAAGAAATGTATTTGATATGCATTCTGACATTTTAGAACAAGAATCACTGAAATTTATGTAACTCATTACCCACTAGAATAGGCCAGTTATTGCCGATTAATTTTGGAAGTGTAATGGAGTCATCTCTTGATCAGCCTAGGATGCATACTAATTCTCACTACAAGGTGTTTTAGGATGTCTTTTATAATTTTAAATGGGGGGAGAACATGTTAAGTTCTGCTATATATATTTGAAAAAAAACCTTAAGAAATATTTGGCATTTACGTGAAAAGGTCAAGAACAGCTTCAAATTATTAAATTTTTTAAATATTTAGCTACAATCAAGAGCTGCAAGGACCTCTTAGGAACCTTGTACATTGCCCTACAGCCACAAGCAACCACATCACATAAATCCTTTCCTAACCTCATTAAATTTAGCCTTTAAAGTTTTACTGGGCACTTTCCAGTAAGCCACGTGAAATAAATTCTCAAGGCTTTAATGCTTGTAAACATCTTTTTTCAAGCCAAGAGTGATTAGGGACAAGTTATACACATTTGGTCTCATGCATTCTCTGTCCTTTATTCTTATTATTTAAATTTTCTGCATTTCTACATACCAGTTCCACACTTCCAGGTATCAACTGTAATTGCTTTAGGTCTTGTCCCCTTAATCTCTCTAGCCTTCTCTAACACAAGCAGCTCTCCAGTTTCTGAATCATCTTCTGATTGACTTCCTTTGTGCCTACCACAATTTGTATTTGTAAAAGATGGGTAATGCATGAGAAACAACACCCCAGGTGTGGTATCATTAATTCTCCAACTCTACAGGAAACACCTTGAATCTAGGTTAACACTTTACTTTTCCTGAGATGACACTTTGGTAATTCACACTTCATCATCCTTTCCAAATGATGCACCCTTAACTTGAAGAAACTTGGCACATGTGTTTTGTATTAATATAATCTATTGCAGTAAAAAATTATGTGGACACTAAGACATAAATGTGTTTTAAAAGTTTCTACTGACACAAAACTTGCCATATTAGTCAGGAATCCTGAGCCACTGAAAATAATTAAGAAATAATATTTTTCTCATGTTGCTCTATTTTAGTTATACCAGTTGTTCTAAGAAATGTTATTTTAAAGTACGTATTAATATTTTGAAATTAATTACTTCTAGATTAATTAATTACTTTTAGAGAGAGGCACTGCTAAAGCAATGATACTTTAAAGAAGTGATCCCCATGTTTCTAACACATTCAGGACAAGTTATTATCATTGACTTTTTAGCTGTTAAAGAGAAGCAGCTCAGCTTTATCACACCATATAGAATTTATTTCCACACATTATGATTATGTCAATTTTTTGACACGTGGAAGCCTGGAGCTAAACACCTAAACTAATCTAAATCTTTAGGAAAACCTAAACTAAGACAGTGCAAATGATAAGGATGTATTTCATTGAATTTAAGACAATACAAACAAGTCATATATGTCTTCAGAATACATCTTCAGAGTAGCACAAATACTAACATATTAAAAACCTACTGCAATACTATAATGTGATAGAAGTAATTTTCTTTGGGAATTGAACAGAACTAAATTTCAGGTTACAGGTATGCTAGTATTTAAATGGGGGCATAACACCATATCACAAGCATAACTCAACAAAGAGTGCATCAAAAACTACACTTGGCTGTCATTAATTTACACTTGTTTCAGCTGAGGTGCCAGCAAAGCTAGCTAATTTCCACACTTAATGCTCCAATTAAAAATCTGGAGTACCACCTTTTGCAGAACTGCCCCAGCAGTAAATACACGTGCACTGCTCTGCTCAAGTACTGCCACACCTGGTGCCACGCACAGGGTGCAGAGATGAACAGGGAGCTACCCTCACCTATTTGAGACAAGGCACAGCCAATACTGGTGAATATGCCTGCACTTGATTTAAAAAGTTTGCAGATTTTTGAAATCATAACGATGCATTCAAAAAGGATTCACTCCACCTTGCTTATTATACTTATGTCCAGTTTGTTTGCCTATATATAATATCCAAAATGTCAATAAAAAAGCTGATTTTACAAGAATTCCCTGAATATCTACTGCAGCCAGAAGTGAAACACAGCAAACAATGTGAAATTTAAATTAGAAGAACTGAATTAGATTTCCTGAAGCTGATGGAAGGACTTTGCATGCAAAAAGTCAAAACTGTTAACTAAAGATGTATTTATGAAATAAAATTTTATTACATTTTATTGGCTTCTCTACTTTTTAGCCTATAAGTAATTCTCAGTTCTTAATTTCTTTTATTGTCATAATTTTGACAACAGTCTTGGATTTCCTTGTTGAGCTGTCTTCAAGGCCTATGTTCAGCTAAGGGACGTGCAGGGCCTGGGTGTCAGGATTCCTGTTTTTCCCCCCTCCCCTGTGGGTGATCATGAAATTTCAGTTCAGTTTTTCACATTAATATGTATCCCAGTTAACTAAAAACATTATCATAAAAAATTATAAAAAGCATGGATTCTAACCACTTTGTCCTCCTTTGGGAAAGCATCCAAGGAAGCAGAATAAAAAGAGAAAAGAAAAAAAGAAGAGATAAAGAATAAAATAGGCAAGTATTAATAGACAGATTTCAAAGAATGCAATTCTAATAAATCTCTGCAAAGAGACAAAAACACAAAATTAAGAAAAAAAAGAGCTTTAAATAAAATGATGACATTACTGAATATGTTGAAAAAAAGTTTTCCCACCCTGACCCACAGAAACATAAACAATATAATAAACAAAATGCAAGTTACAAATGAAATTACACTCTTCCATTTCTGTGGCTTGAAATAGGGGGTGAAAATGGTTAAAATATATATTCAATTTTTTTTCTGAATAAAGTTAAGCTGTATCACATGCACTCATTAATAGAATAATGTAATATATCAAAGTAAACTATTATTTTCAGAGACTTGCACTGATGACACCATCTACAGGTGACACAATGCAATGCATCTGTTTTTACTAATAATAATGCACATTTTTGTTCAGTTTGACTATGTAGTTTTCTTCAGAATGTGAATTTAATTTAATAGACACATAGGTACATGGAGGCTATGGAAAACCTTTAAAATAACCATGAAATGCATCTTTTTGAGAGGTTATTTTTGGTTTACATGGAATTTCAGAAGGCCTATTCAGTTGATGTCCATCTTAAAGAAAGTGAAAAGGCCACCAACCAGTTCCCTCGTGAACATGATTATCTGCTATACAATCTGTGTTCACTTTAAGTGAATTTATATTGATACCAAGAGCACCTATAAATTTACCCTACAAAAGCCTGGCATCTTAAAGCAACATAAGAAAGTTGACTCATCTCACGACAGAAAACAAAATTGTTCATGTAATAAAAAGAGATGTGTAGGATGTTTTATAACACACAATAGCCCTTGATGCCCAGCCAAAAATAATCACTGGATAACAGTAGTCCAAATTTAGATCCTACTGCTCCTGTATGAGAGAGTAGTCAGAGGTTTGGAAGGGACTGACTGACCAGAGGATACTCTTGGATAATATTTGATTTTGTGGACTGCTAGTGCAGATAACTCATGCAGATCAGAGGGAGAACCATTCAGTTCACCTACCAGAAATTAGGATACTTAATCCAGATTAATCTGAAGTTTTAATCTTTAAATAAATTTTAAATAAATTGGTATAAAACTTTTCTTGTGCTAAGAAAAGCGGTTGTTTTTTGGGTTTTTTTAAACTAAAAAATTGACTGATTTCATGTAAAAGCAATCTATAAATGTTTATGTTGAGTTCTATGAAAATAAAAAATGTAATATTAAATAAGGCTTCTATAAGAATTTATTAATGTGGAGTTGTACCTAAGAAAAAGGGTTTCTTCTTTTATTCTATCAAAAAAAGTATATTTTCTACAAGCTGTCACTCCATAAAACTAGACACTATTATTCTTTCGTTTTAATTAACTCTGAGATTCCCAAGTCCCTTGGCAATCATTAAATACATTTGTTTAACTTGTATGATTTTACATTGATTTACGTGTATGATACACACATCATAATGAAGCAATGGATGAAATACTTCAGCAAAATGAAGCATAAAATGCCAAACTTAAGGTGAATAATCTGCAGCATGACAACATCACGGAGGCTTTTTCTTAGGAGTGCACGTCAGAAGACTTACATTGTTTGATCGCAGAGAGACACGGCCTCCACATCGAGCACAGAACTTGGTCCGGCAATAAGAGCATAAATGGCCACAACCATCTGCAAACTTTGTTTTATGACAGATTCCACATGTTGGAGCATCATCCTTGTGCTCTCCCTGGTAACGGCGGGCTTCTTCCCCTATCTTTCTTACTTGCTCTTTATAGCTTTCAAATTGTTGATGCAACCTCCTGCATAGATGAGAAAAAAGTTTATATAGCACGAATAGGAGGAAAGATTACCACTCTGTATTTCTTTCAGTTTGCAACTCTACCTAATATTCTAGGCCTGTTCCCAATACTACATGTACTTCATATCAAATACACACTGCACACAGAAGACTGTATAGGGCAATCTAAAGGAAAAAAAATAGACATCTTTGTTCTTGAAGGTTCACTTCAAAGATTACAGACAAATCATTTCACTTAGCCACAAATTGATCCAAATGCATATACTAAACAAAACTGCCTACCATGTACTAAACAAAATAAATAATTTTGTGATCAAATATGCATATTTTTAACCAACCTAATTTACATACCAGATGTAATTAAAATATGTAAATCAATCTCCAGTTTCAGTGCTTTCAAAACCTAGATTCCTAACACACGTAACAAATATTTCAAAGCATGGTCTATGATGACACTGACCTCACAAGAATATGAGAACATCTTTTTATTTCAAATTTATACCTTAACAATCTGTTGTGTTTTCTCTTGTTAAGTATGAGAGACTACTTAAGGTTTCCTATCCCTCATTACAGATATTTTTTCCAACTTTGCTGTATGAGTATATAGAAGTATTAGCAGGTACAGAGGTTCCTAGGATGAAGACTGGTGTTTAAAGAAGCAGCATTTCTCCTCCAGCTGCCCCAAACAACAAACCCCCTGACCCTATGCCCACCATCTGGAGAAGCATGCTGCTACACAACAGACTCACCTCCTAATCACAGCTCAAAAAGACCCGAGACAGCCTAAAGAGGAGACTCCAGAAAGATAAAACTTGGTCTTTGCACTACGTAGAACCCAGGCTTTTCCAGATGTTGCTTCGAATCTACATCTCCATGGATAAAATTTAAAAATCATGAGCAACTACACAGATTATTAACAGAAAGAGGGAATCTTGAGTTTAATAAATGGAAACAGTAGGTGTGTTGTCTACAGAGGTCTTGGTGATATCCTTTATCTCTGCTTTGAGCTACCTACTTCCTTAATTAGCACTGACTCACACCATCTAACCAGTGTATTTTTAGTGACACAATTCCATGTTTCTGTGGGCTTGTGTGTGTGTGGTTTACTTCTCTGAAGTTTTAAAACATAATTTATCTGTGCTCTTTGTATGAAATACTTTTTTGGTGAAGTGGATATTTTTTACTTTAATGTGATATTCAAGCCTAAAAAATGAGAAATCAACTCACAGGAATTGTGATAAAATACACATAATTCAGTTGGACAGGAGTATTATTGCCTGTAAATACATAAATCAACCAGCTCTCACACTAAAACCAGTAACATCACATGGGTGCACTCTAGTGAGAACGCAACAACAAAAGCTAAGCAGCCAAATAATCTATTTTCCCTAACTACAAAAATGATGCATTATACTTAATGCTTTATGCAAATCAAAAGCTTGGCAGGAGCAGCAAGGGGGTTTGTTTTGTTTTATTTTTTACTAACCTCCTTAAAAACCTTTACAGTATTGAGTAAAGTAGGTCAAAGAATTAGGCAAAATCCTGGAGACACTTAATACTTTTCACCATATAACAAGATTACACATATGAATTAACTTATCTTACACAGCTGCTCACTTTTATTGCATAAAAACAACTGAAGACATTCAGGATTTTTTACAATAACCAGCTTAAAGAATACAATTAAATAATGGAAAGGTCTGTAGGTAAATTTCTTATTACCTCAAATATTCCATTAAAAAATAAAACCATGGAAACTAAATTCAGTTCTCCTCCACTAAAGTACAACCAAAAGCCCTGGCTGTTCACTAACATGGAAAGGAAGATAACAGAAAGCACTGCCCCTCTTTTAGTTCTTTTCTAATTAGACATCTACATTTGAACATTTTCTATCTCAAACGAAGCTTAGGAAGAGTATTAATACAATTATGTTTTTGTCCTTCTGTGTTCACCAAGGGGTAGATGAACATGCTACAGGACTGCGCAAAACTTAAGTGAGATGAGATTAAAATTCTTTATAAGTAAGTATCACTTTTTAATGGATTTGTTAATTTCTGAATCCATATAAGACACATTTCACTATGAGGGGTTTGAAACCCTTATCTTGCATATCATACATGGCACTACTGAGGAAACACTGACATTTTATCTACAGCAAGAATGGAATTGGAGAGAATGAATATTTCACAGAGCAGAAAGAATCTTACCCAGCTCACAGCAGGTCTGGTTCAATTGGCTCCTTTTATAACCACCTTTCCTACCTTTTTAAGGAAAAAGCTGGATCTCTGTATCTCTGGCTATTCTGTAATGGTGGCAGCAAATCCCTCTCAATGGTTTTGCCGTATATAGAAATATATTAAGTATTAAGCAAGAACTAAAATACAAATGGTAGGTTTTGATTTGCTCCTTAACTTCCAGGCTATTGAGCACATTTTCATCAGATGCAAGGAAAACTTAAATCTATTATATATTCCTTAATATAGACAAGCACCTAAAGTTTAGACTTAAGACCTAATAACAGCAGATGATATAATGGCTTGGCAGACCCTTGAGGCACATACCAATTCAATCCCTTCTAACAGAGAGTAACAAGACCACTGTGTAAGAGGGATATATGCATAGACACATATGATTTTCATTATGCACCCAAGGATTTATCTGGTTCTGCTACTGAAGTGAAGGGCACTTGCAGGATTAGCTTACTCTGAGACATTATTGCAGCACTTCACTTGTGCAGACCTCCCACCACATTGAACAAAGGAGCTGCATCCACACAAGCTGACGTGTCTGGGTAGGGTGCTGCTATTTCACACTCACAGGCATGGCACATATGCGTGATCAAAAAAAGATCCCACCATGGGAGAATCTTTGGGCACATCACATCTCTTGTGACTAAACCACACTCTTCTGTTGCTAAAATACTGGAAGAGACTGAGCTGCTTGGAGAGGGACATCAGCCCTTGGACTTTACTGCACCTATGAGGGGTCAGCATCACAACCTGTGGTGCACAGAAACCAATACACACTTTGTATGTCTACAGGGAAAGAATTAACCCGCTCACTTTTACAATATACATAGAACTCAACACATGTTTAGGTTACTGCTGGTTTTTTTCTCCAAGAAAACATGATGGCTTCCTCCTCCCTTCTTTTTTCAAAGATATTTCACAAAAACCCCTGCTTCAGCTGTGCTATACATGTACCATATTTTCATTTGAATATTCATTATTTTGCTTTGACAGTGTAAACGAGTACAAAAATTACTGACAGGCAGTTCTTCAAAGCTTTACTCACATCTTCATATACTTAGCAAAAACTGTAAGCCTTGGAGAACACTTGTGATAAATACCTTACATAATTTAAACCTTTCAGACAGCTCACTGATGTAATTAGGAGGACAAACAATGAACACTGAGGTCATTTATAACATTGACTGATCAAAAAGTGTTACATAAACACAGAGAAATTATCATTTATGTTGTTGGGCTCTTTGGAGTTGGATCAAGATGTATATTTATTTTCCTATTATTTTAATTATTTAAATTACAATTGAAGGCTATAATTTTTTAACAGACCATATTATTGCTTCTTTTGCTGTTTTAAATTCATATGTTAAATTATATTTTGCTGTTTTAAATAACTGTCTAAATTATTTCCACATATATGCTGAAGAGTAAAAAGCTTCAAAATAGCACATTTGCATATATATGCTCTGCTCTGTCTGCACAGATTTTATAAAAAATTTATTAAGAGTTCTGTCTCTTTCATGCAGAGTTACATTTTAAATGACTTTAAATGCTATATGAAATTCTATTTTATACTTCCTTAGAAATCCAGTAGATGGCAATGCAGCTCACATTTTTACTCTCCCAGTTCAACTCAAATGCTCCAGTCTCGAAATTAAATACCTGATGTAATGTTATAAAAATATTATGCCCTGTCATGAGTTCATGTTAGTAGAAAAAGTGCCGCCTTCTAAGTGACATAGCCTTAAGTAGCTATCCACCAGCAGCTACCACGTCTGAAAAAAAGCTTTGGAAAATGCAGGATCTTGTCCTGTTCACCCACACCACACAAGCACATCATCACACAGAGCTCAGAGAAGTTTTTTCATAAGATAAGCAGGCGTTTTACCAAGCTCTGCTCTTGGCATTCTTTTTTTTATGATAAACAAATAATTTAAAATGCAAACAGCAATAGTGCGTATGCCCACAAAGGCAGCAGCTAGAGCTAAACCTGTTGGTGATGCTTCAGCATCGACGCCGAAGCTGTGACCTGAAAAACGCTGTTCAGCTGCTCTGTAAAGCTGGGATTACCTCAGTCACAGCGGATGCCTTGCTGGTGTGCCAGCACTGCAGCACCCAGCTCATGGAGGTGCTTCCAGAGGGAGCCTGGCTCTGGCCTCAGCCCCACCAGCACCTCAGCTGGGAAAAGCTGTCCACTTGTCCTGGGTTTTGGGAATACATCCTTTAAACAACAAAGTCAAGACAGGCCATTTTAGCAAGTTACTGTGGGATAGTTTTGTCTGAATAAAGATAAATGAGGGGTTTATGGGGAATCTAGCATGTGTTGACAAGGAAAAACAGCTGATGTGGAGTGGAGAATCTACTTCATTAATCATCCCATGACATATAAATCCATTATTAAAATTTTTATCTTCTGTACAGGTAGGACAAGTTAAGGTTGAATAGTAGCAACATATCTAACTCTTCGAGCTCCCAAGTTCTTGATGTAGCAATGTTACAGTGTTAGTCTATTTGAAACCAGGATATTTTTAAATGTTTGGGGGTGTGCTGCTTTTTTAGTATGGGCAATACTTGGTTTGGTTATTTTGTAAAGATGAAATAACTGCAGGACATGCTCATATTGCAAAATATTGGACTTCTGTGAATTTGGATGCTAATATTTCTATATTAAAGCTATTGTTGTACTATTTTATTCAGCGTGATCTGCTTCTTAAGAACTAAAGGCAAGCAAGACACGGTTTCTGTAAGCTGTGAA